TGTGGGCTCTGGTGGGGTTTTGGGTGGGCCGGGGTATCTTGAGTCCTATGTGGGGGATGTCCAGACTCCCCACAAACCTCCCCCAACTTTGCATCCAATTTGCGGGAATTCAGACGTGTAGACTTTTTCGCGGACATATGCATCACCACATTGGATGGAAAAAATGGCCCAGACATTTGTTGGTGTTTTATGGCACGGCATTGGAGATGCCCTTACATAGTTTTTTTTTTTGCAGTTGTATATGTTGTTTTGCTCAAAGGGATATAAAATGCAACAATCCAGCTGCATAATCTACTTCCTATGTTCACTATTATAAGATATTTTAACTTTTCTGAATTGGATGAATATAGACACATTTTAGTGTGTTTGTTCACTCATTGAGTCTGTGTAGAACATATTGAAATATCCGAAACATCTTATATTTGTGAACGGAGAAAGTACTTCTTATACTTCCTTGCAAGGATGGTCAAGCCCTCTGATGATAATGACCATTTGCAAAATGTGGTTTACTTGGCATAGTGTTTTGTTAACAATTCAGGGTTCACGTAGTCTACTAGTTGAAATTTTGTTTTGCACAAAATCACAGGGTGTAGAATTTTAGGAGTATGAAATGTCTGACCAAGCATTTTTTTCATCCAGTTATACATATACCTGTATGTTGCAACCGAATCACCATAGTCCCCTTTTGAACCAGAGCCTCCAGGAGCTTTCTTAGGAGCCCTTGTGTTTCCAGTTGACTGGAAGCTCGTAAGGGGACTACAGTGATAAAAATATAAGTTCTTGTCACAGAGAACTGTTGTTCCTTCTTTTTAATAAAGGGCGTTTTTTAACTTAAAATGTAGCATTAAGCGGATACATTATCAACAACATCCAGTCTCTATATAGCTAAGATGCACAGAGCCAAACACACAGTCTAACAAAAGAAAAGATAAAAACCAGCATATCAGCAACAAAGAAGTAATAAAAGACCGACACTATGCCTATGTCGAAGGAGGTGGTGAACCGATCCAGAGATTATGCTATCACCCATATTAGGTAAAAACCTCCCTGGCTTCCCGCTCCAACCGCATACAGATACAAGGTTCAACTATTGTTCATCGTTATCTGTATAAAGCATACAAGGTTCACACGTACTCCCTTTGGTTTTATATACAAGGCCACTTTCAAAAATACAATTTGCATCTCTACAATGCCTCTATCCCTTCCCGAGAAAAATCAATTAGATTTTTGCCTTGTATGATGATGCTTATTAATGCAAATGTTGCATGCAGCCATAGAGAAAGAGGCACCACGTGCAACATGTTTAAATACTAGCCTGAATCATGAGAGGTTTTTCACATAATTAATTGTGCTATTGATTAGTTATCATAATTTTCTTGGTATATGAAAAATGGGATAGTGGTCTTGTGTACAAAAACGAAGGGAGTATTTATTATTCTATTCTGTTAATTCAAACATGTCTGCTATTTTCTCATCAATTCTATAATGTAACAATCTCCTGGGGACAGATCAAGGAACTGAGAGCTGCACTTGGGCCTTTGTCCGCCTGTGGAGAAAAATATTGCAATGAAGCATGCTTGGTAAGATATCTCGAGGCTCGCAACTGGAATGTTGACAAGTCTAGAAAAATGCTTGAAGAAAGTCTCAAGTGGAGGGCAGCCAGGAGGCCTGAGGATATTCACTGGGTATTTTTTTTTTAATTTTCATTTTCCTTGCTTGCATTCATCAAGTAGCTAATGTCCTCATTAATTGTTTTATTCTTCAATTCAGCCGGACGTTTCGGTAGAAGCAGAAACGGGTAAAATGTACAGGGCACCTTTCACAGATAGAGAGGGGAGAACCGTGATCGTAATGAGACCTGCAAAGCAGGTAAGAACTCAACATGTTCCTAGCTAGCTTGGGAACCGCCGGTCTCCTAGCTAGAACTCACCTGTATTTTTATTTTGTAAAACAATTTCAGAATACATCATCTCACGAAGGGCAGTTGCAGTATCTTACATATACCTTGGAGAATGCAGCCCTCAACCTGCCTCAAGGTCAAGACAAAATGGTGTGGCTGATAGACTTCACAGGATGGACACTGGCCCATAGAAGTCCCTTCAAGACTTCCAGAGAGAGTATAAGTACCGTGCAAAACCATTACCCGGAGAGACTCTCAGCTGCATTTATGTTCAATCCGCCCAAAATATTTGAGGCTTCTTTTAAGGTGTGGCCTTTTTTCTTCGTAAATGTAGTGTTGCTTTATCCATGAAGCTCTTTTAAAAAAAACAGCTATAGATCGATACAAAAAGGTACCATACTTGTTTACCAGCTTAACTGTTTCAAATGCTCTCAGGTTCTCAAAGTCCTGATTGACCCGAAATCGGCCCAGAAACTTAACTTTGTGTACAAGGAGAACGAGGAGAGCATGAAGACAATGTACAACCACATTGATCCAGAAGTCCTTCCTGTAGAGTTTGGAGGGAAGAACAATGTAGTGTACAACCATGAAGATTACTCCAAGTTGATGACAAAGGATGACATCAAAACGGCAAGCTTTTGGGCAGCAGATGTTAACCATGTCATCAACGTGGACTCGGTTCCTGAGGTTAAGCCGAAGCCGTCACTAATTGTTGCTAAAGCAAGTTGAGAAACATTGGCCAGCCATCTCACAAGGTGTTGCTAAAGCAAATTGAGATGCACCAGGCAGCCATTATGAGCTTACGATGGCCTTCAGTGCAGTTCTGAAAGAGGTATAAAGAAATGCAACTGTAGAATATCTTGCTATACTTTACCATCATCAAATAAGTGATTTCATTACTATCCCATGGCCAAGATATCCACACACTAATTAACATCAAGTGGTATTTATTTTTGGGAAAGATCTAGTGGTAGAGTACTCCGTATTTGGTAGTACTCCTTCCCACAAAATAGATCTCCCACGTTTTGTCTTGATTTTTTTAAATGATCAAAATTATAGGTCAACATTCACTATAAAAGGTAAATATACTATGAATACATATTGGGTGTTTCCCCTACCCCAGTACGTTTTTACACCCCCTTGATAAAAGTGGATCGGTCGTCCCTACCATGACGCCAGACGGCACCACCACCCTGCGCTCGTCCATCATCACGAGTTCGCCGCCTAGAATCGGCTTACACCTGGCTACGCAAAAACTGAACTTGAACAGAACTTAATGACCACTATTTTCCTAGATTTTTTTCCTAACCTTCAAGCCCAAAAAGCTCCATCTTGAGCCCAGCCCCGAAAACAGGCAGCTCCTTCTTGGCTGCTAAAGCCACCGGAAGCGACACGAATGTCGGCAGGCTTGTTGCGTAGACCGCAAAAATGATCTTGCTCTGAAAGTTGTATCTCTGAATTTCAAAAGCATGTACCTGATCGTGGTGGGATTCAACACCACTGACACCCTATTCAATTCGTTTCCAGCGTGTATCTAATCTGGAAAAAATGGAAAATAATAACCGAGAAAAGAAGGACTAAAAAGGAAGAGATAAATATGATGGGTAAAGTAGTGAAATGAGACATGTAAATAGACTGGAAACCAACTGAAAACTTGCTAAACTAGTTAACTAACCTTCCTTCATGGTAACACACAAAACATGACTGAAGAAAATGACACCTAACACTGAAACTACTGACGATAACTGACGAAAATGATGCCTACTCGTTGTTGTCGCCTTCATCTATTTCAAGTAGTGCACTGCTAGTACCATAGATGTTCAATGTGCATGCAAATCCGTTTGGGGGTTTCGATGCAGGGCAAGAGGGAAAACAGAACATGAACAAGGAGATTCAAACCAAAATGTCCTACCCCCAAGACAGACCGAGGGACTGAAAATAAATAGCAGGGCCGTCCCCACACATTTGGGGCCCCGGGACGAAACGCAAAATAAGGCTCAAACATTAAACATATATAGCTAATACAACTAAAGTATACTTTCATTTAATTCAATTTCTTAATTGTGTGTTATTTCATATAATTTCAAAATACATCAATTATGAATTTAAAGTACTGAAGGTACTGCTAAAGCAATAAAACTAACATCGTCTTCTACTGAAAAGCATCATTACATGTATTCTAGGCTTACCAAGGTAAGAGAACAAAAGAATGCGAACCTTGAAACTCGGATGAACAACTATCTTCGAAATCTTGTATGAGCAACTATCCTCAAAATAGTTCTATCTGAAACAATCAAAGAAATGCATGGTTGATCGATGATTTGAGAACAAATACATGATAGATGGACAAATGTCATCAGGGTAATAACAAAAGGAGAACAAAAGTACGCTCTGCCAACAACAGCTAGACGAGCTACAATACATGATCAATTGATGAATAATGAATAGATCGATGATTCATTGGAGGTTTCATGCACAAAGTCAGGACTGTCCTGCAGACAACCTGATAGCATAACTACAGTATTGCTAGTACATGTTCAGCGGGAATCAATTCTGAAAACCAAAATTTAAGAGCACGTCGCAGTTTAAGTTTAGTGTTATGCGAGCAAGACAAGTAATTCAATCATGGATAATTAACTAATTATCGATAGGAGCAGAGTAGGAACAGCAGGAAGTTACCTATGGATACGGTGGTACATGCATTATCGAGAGGCCTAAACTTGAGGCGGCCAAAGAAGGCGCAGATTACAGAAAATTGTTGCACGGCGATGTTGTCATCCGGCAGCGCGAGTCGAATTTCTGAACTAGGGTTATGCTACGCTTCGGCGCTGTCATCGTCTGGCGGCGGGAGGCGAACTGCTCGATTGGGGTTGCGCTACGGCGCTGTCGTACATCAGGGATGATCCAGCAGGCAGGTAAGCTGGGCCTTTTTCAACCTGACACAAAACTGCGATTTGGGGGCCCTAGGAATTTGGGGGCCCTGGGCGGTCGCCCACTTTGGCCCCCCTTGTCGACGGCCCTGATAAATAGACAATGAATGAAGAATGAAAAATGAAAAACGGAATACTGAAAAAAAAAGAGTGAACACTAAATACAAAAATCTACTACTATAACTGAAGAAAACTCTGAACAACTGAAAGAAACCTGCATTGAAGATGACTGAAGCTGAAACTGACATAATGAGGAATAGAGAAGACTGAAACTGAGATAAGGACAAACAGATAGGACTGAAACTGAAACCGACATAATGAAACTGGCCGAGAAAATAAAAATGATTATGAGAGACTACAACCGAAGAGAGAAAAACTGATTGAACTGAGATACTCAGCCCCATAAAGCACCATAGTCTGCCCCTGTGAACGTACCGATGACAACATCAACATTCCGGACAGCTGCCCCTTTTCATATTTGTCTGAACACCTCCCATGGAAACTACCAAAACAACTAGGCATGGAAGATGGTTTGGTAGATACTGAAAAACTAAGCAAGAACAATCCAAGAAAATGAAAAAAAATGTACTGAATAACTAAAAACTCTGAAGCACTAGAAACTCTATGAGCAATGAACAAAACGAAAAACTGAATAATGACAAACAAATGTGAAAAGTGAGCATTCTGAAAACTAAGAAGATGAAGCACATGTACTGAGAAACTAAAATAATAAACATAGATTATATGTCATCTGGGGGACCTCAACTAAGATGGACAATGAACAACTAAGATAACAAAAGAAAAACACCGTGTCTACGCAAAAAAAAGAACCTTAAAATGAAAAGCGTCGTGCGTGCGAGAAAAGTGGCGAGAGCTTGACGACGGCTGGAGCTAACGTGCGGGTTCCGCCTGGCGGTGTGAGAGAGAGACACGAGAGAGAGAGAGAGAGAGAGATGCGGGTGCCCTCCTTTGAATAATTCCTTTTTGATTTTTGAATGAACTCAAAAATAAAATTGACTTTAATTCTTTTTGGGAAATATAAAAAAGCTCAAAATATTAATTTGGGCTTAATAAAAATACTTTCATGCCTACATAAAATATTTATTGTCACCCTATTTTTGGAATATCAATTTATTCCCTAAATATTTATGGTTCAATTTAATTGCCAAATGACTTTAGGGTTTAAAAAATAGGGATTTATGGAAATTATTTTCCAACCAAAAATTAAACAAGGTCACAACCTTTTTGTGAGCTCGAACTTTTGGTTTTAATTCCCAAATGAAAATTTAGGGTTCTGAATAATGCCAAAAGTTTTATTTGAGCCACATTTTCAATCAAATCAAACAACTCCTAATCAAAACTAGCTAATATCAAGCAATCACAATAATAACTCCCTCCGATTTATTTATTTACACTCCAAATTTGGGAAAAACTAGGATGTGAGAGTTGATGGGATACAAAAATATTCCGTTAACATAAATAAATATGTTTTTTTGCGGAAGAACATAAATAAATATGTTAACGGTGTAAACAATGGCTTTTTGTAAACTGTATTGTTTTACTCTTGCCTTGTGTATTTCATATGGCGTTCTTTTTGCATGGATATTTCATATGGTGTTGATGTTTTTAAGTTTTTATGCAAAAAGTCCCAAGGCCATATATTAAGTATCATAGCTCCTTACAAACACATTTCCATAAAAATAAAATTACATTCAAAATCATGGGAGCGGCGAAGTCTTCTTCCTCCTACATCCATCGGCGCCACCACGTGAGCATACATCGTTGCCGCCTCTGGGTCTGCACCTCGATTGAGCAAACTTTTCAAAACCCATGTAGAAGCAACCGTCGAGAAGTCATCGATGATGACCAGGAGACACCGACGGCCACGGTCTGCGAAGCAAATCACCGATGAGGGCATGTAGAAACTCCGAAGATCATGAAAGGCGGCTGAATCCAGATAGATCCTTCGAAAACCTAAATGGTTATACCGATCGGATGTCGGAAGACCCGCCTGATGAAGCTATGTACCTAGGGTAGGGTCATGGATCTGTCCAACATACCCTCCCCAAGGACATCTCTACAAAGAATCAGAAGCAGTCGAAGAGAAAACATCATCCACTCGACCATGAAGATGTGCTCACTCGACCACCTTGAAGACACTCGACCACCAGAAGATGAGAAACCCTCCACTCTGCAACGGTCATGACTTAAACCATAGCTTTATGGGCATTTATAACACTTTATTGTAGACGTTACCAGTAACGCCCCCACCTTTATGAGCATTGAACCCTGTGTAACGGAGGGGAGCTGGGGTCCTGGCGCACTCTATATAAGCCACCCCCCTCCTCTGGGACAAGGGTTCACACTTTCTGTAATTCACACACATATATTCAGTCGACCGCCTCAGGGCTCCGAGATGTAGGGCTGTTACTTCCTTCGAGAAGGGCCTGAACTCGCAAAACTTGTGTGTACAACTCCTCCATAGCTAGGATCTTGCCTCTACATTCTCACCCCCTACTCTACTGTTAGTCTTAGAACCACGACAGTTGGCGCCCACCTTGGGGAGGTGTCTTAGCGACTTGTTGGAGAAGTTGCAATTTTTCCGATCCCCTTCATCATGGTTCCAGGTGGAGGTTTGGTTGAGGGCCGCGAGATCCGTCTCGGCGCGCTCGTGTTTGTCGCCGACGACTCCGCTTGGCTTCAGGAGGCTCCACTCGACGCCAACGCGCTCCCCGCCCGCGGGGCGACGCACTTTCACGCGTGCGTCCGCGGCGTCCTCCTGCGGCAACCGTCGACCCA